AGATGAAATTAGTAACTCCCTGCAGAGTGCTTTAATGTTCTCTCCTGAATATTCCAAGAAAGTTTGTTTTTAAAAAGTTGTAGTTTGCAAGGCAATTAGGAAATTACATTACAGTGGCATAGAGATAATTAAATAGCAATTAGATATGAATAATTCCAGAGAACAAAAGCAAAATAATTAAAATGACAAGGTGATTATAAAGAAAATATAACAAAATGAAAATTAGACTACAATAGTAAAATTAAACTACTAATAGTGTTACGATGAAGTTGAAGTCGCTTTAAATATTTTCTATAGTTTTCAACAGGCTGGATTATAATTAAAAAAACACTAATAGAATAAAAAGTAAAGCTTTCAAAAAGAAAATGCAATTTAAGTTATCAGGGTTACCAGATTCAATGAGACGTGAAAAAACATTTCTGACCACAGTGAAAAATGCAGGAGGGACCCAATCAACATCTTAATGGTGCCTGATTAATTTTGTCTGTTATTTAAAATATAACTTCTATCACTACTACTACTATCACAGGTGACTAAAGAGAGAACAGGTGTAGATAACCTAGTAAGGTTAAAATAGTTTAGTTGTTTTCTATCTGGATGTTTTATTCTGTAAGCTAAATATGTATAAATAGAGTAGTGACAAAAAATAATATGAAGTAATTAGAAAACTAAATAGTTGCGTTTTATGTCTTTATGTACCCAATGGATGCAGAAGACACACAGCCTCAAATTTCTGAATATATCCCATCTACTTCTCTGGTCCATATTGGGTTAGAGATTTCACCAGAGAAATGCAGATAAAACTGTTTTCAGCCCCCAAAAATGTAAAAAGATCATCAGTGCTCAACTTCTCTCAGTGGTGAGAAACCTGGCTGTACTTTAGACTTATTTATATTGTCAAAACACTTTACAGTACAATATTTCATTTGATTCTTTTTAACTCTTTACCATTATGTTATTCTTACACACTTTCTAAGCTCCACATTTGTGTGACCATTTTTTTTCTATAATCTTTTTGCTGCTGTAAACATCAGATTTTCCCCATTGTGGGACAATAAATGCATTTTCTATTCTATTCTATTTTAGATTTGGATTTAAATATATCCAATTTCACAGCAGCCCTTAAAGCTCTGTAATCAAACCGTCCAAGATTGTTAAATTCAGCGATTAAAGCATTGAGTGATAGTGGGTCTAAATGTTTTTCTGAGTCGCTTGTCAAGAATCAACCACCCCTCTGGGCTTTAAAGACCTGCTTACCCAGGAGCAGAGCTAAACAAAGGTTAGGGGCATTTGGCTTCTATTCTCTTTAATCCTTGAACAATTCCCTGGAAACCTGCCATGTACAGAATTCATGATTTATACAGAATTCATGACAGAATAAAAATTTCATATATATGAAAAAAATGCTTTGTCTTTCTTTTCCATATTATAAGTGGATTTTCATCGCATACATACTCCACAGCTGTTGGAGTAGAAGAAGAAGCAGTGGTTTAGACTTTTGGAGGACATAGGGACCCCTATTTCATCATTCTGCTTCATTCTCTCTCTATTCTCCTATTCTGCAGAATCTGTTATTTTAATCTCTAACCTTCTGCTCTCTCTGCTTTGCCTCAGAGTAGCTTTGCCTCGTCTTTTCCTGTTTGGCTGTGACGCCATCCTGGAAAGAAACATCAGCTGTGCTGCTTCCATCAACACCCTTGTTTATAGATGCTGGAGATCGGCCTGTTTTCCAGTGTGGTCCTGTTTCTCTGATCGTGACTCAGTGGATGTGCTCTCTTCGTCCTCTGGCATGGGAGCTGGCTCGGTGCTCGTCTGCCTGGCTGTGTGTTTCCTGGACAGGGCCGCCTTTTATAGTTGCTTTTTGAATCTCTGCTTCTTTCTCCTTGAACCCCAGTCGGCCTCAGCAGATGGCCGCTCACACTGAGCCTGGTTCTGCTGGAGGTTTCATCCTGTTAAAAGGGAGTTTTTCCTCTCCACTGTCGCTACAAGCATGCTTAGTGTTAGAGATTGTATTTGAGTCAATGAGTCAATGCAATCAACTGGTTTTCCTTAGATTAGAAAACTTTGTATCAATTTGACTGTATGATCTGGTTGAACTGTAAAGTGCCTTGAGATGACGTGTTGAGAATTTGGCGCTATATAAATAAACTGAATTGAATTGGTGAGTATCATCACAGGGATTGAGGTTGACAGACTGTGGCTCGGTTTGCTGGTGATTTTCCCTCGTTCCAGGAGGCACATGAGGAGTAATGGTGTTCACATGTGGGAAAGTCAAGACAGCGGTTCTAAGACAGAGCGACCAGAGAAAAAAATCTTTGAAGAGGATCTAGAGGATAAATAGAAGAGATGGAGAATCGAAGATGTGAGGGAGGACTATGGACTGGAGAGCGGGCTTCTATTACTCTTTAGTAAGCGCAATCTGGCATCTGCCTCAGGGGATCCTGTCATCTTTAAGCTCATTTTCATGGGCTGAATGGGTTACAGCAGCAGGGCCACACCTGCGAGACACACCTTGCTATTAGAGAAGGAAAGGAGCACACACACACAAACCCCCCACCCCACACACATGTTATGTCCTACTATCCTTATGGGACTTTCCACTGGCTTCCATTCGTTTCCAATTCATTTGTATTGCATAATAGTTAATTTTATAAAATATTTTATATTTTAAAGTATTTGCAGATTCAATTGAATAACCCAAACCGTAACTTTAACCATCAAATACTGGATCTATATTATCTATCTATATCTATATAGAGGGGATTTTTTTTTTTTTAAGTTTACATTATTTAATAGGTAATTTAAGGTAATTGGTCTGCATGTTTCCTGGATGGGACTGCCTTTTACAGTTGCTTTTTGTATCTCTGTTTCTGCCTCCTTGAACCCCAGTCGGCCTCAAAAGATGGCCGCTCCCACTGAGCCTGGTTCTGCTGGAGGTTTCTTCCTGTTAAAAGGGAGTTTTTCCTCTCCAGTGTCGCTACAAGCATGCTTAGTGTGAGGGATTGCCTTCAAGTCAATGAGTCGATACAATCAACTAGTTTTCCTGTGACAGAAAACTTTTTATAAAACATATACATATATATATATATAAAACAATATATACATCTACATACATACACTTCAACAAACATATACATACCTACACAAACAAATCACTCAGAGTACTATTAAATGTCGGCTGGTTAAATATTTTCCATCTAAGGAAGCCCAGCTAATTGCATGGAGTCACACAGGTCATGCTCCTCCTCGATGAGCTTCTACTTTTCATGATATATTCAAATATATGCATTGCATGATATATTTTTGCCCTCCATGTACCTAAGGGATCACGTCTGCATGATTGTAAACAGACCCACACTATTGGAACCCCTGAGAAAGATAATGTCCAACAACTAACAGTACTTTCCTAAATAACTTTGCTGCTTTCCTATGTACTGTTTTTTTTATTGATAAACTGGCCCATAGTACTCAGTTGTTTTTTTGTGTGTGTTTTCTTTTTTTTATAATGCAGTAACTGTGTCCAAAATAACTTGATGTATTTAGATTTTCTCTCCCAAGCTGTAGTTAGCTGCAGCCACTCCCACTGAGCCTAGTTCTGGTCAGCAGGAGAGTTTTTTCCAGTTAAAAGTGAGTTGATCCTTTGCAATGTTGCCGCTTGCTTGCTCAAGAGGAAGCTTTGCTGAGCAAAGTCAATGACATCATGCATTGGGCTTCCTTACATAGATAATGTCTGAGAGAAATTTGCATTGTGGTCTGTGTAACAATGTTGATTTGTATGTGTGTTTTTTATATTTCGATGCTAGTTGGACATTTTTCTTTGAGGTGACAGTTGTTGTGAATTAGCACTTTTGAAATCAAATAAAATATGATCTCTCTCTGGTGGTGAATTGCACTTTATCTTTTCCTATTTTATTTTCTCAATCATTTTTGAAGACATGTTCAGTTGCATTTGCTAATTATCTTTCTTTCTGTTTGTTTTCCAATGAAAGTCAAGAGAACTTTAGCCATTGCAGAAAACCATTGCAAGAAGCTGCTCCTAAGTGTGTGCCCGTACATGTGCATTCAAGACATGGGTCATGAACAGTAAAACTCACCTAACAGGTTTTTAGACTTTTAAGGTAGAGTCCCGCTGGTTTAGAGTTTCGCCCTTCTCTCACCCGAGTTTATTTAGACAAAAAGATGTCTTTTCCCCCTTAAATTCTTACTCTTTTGCTTCTGTGTCTGCACATTGGAGCCAATATTATCTGATCCACCCTTAAATAGGTTACAAGCTTGAAATCTCGCTCAAGGGGGAAACCATGTGACACGGCAAAAATAGCTTCACCCTCTCCCTTTGGAAACCAACAAGAATGCAAAGATAGTAGTTTCTATTAGGATAGTACCATAGCCGTTTCTTGTGTTCTAGTTTGTGAAACCCTCTGCATTTTATGCATATATCTGATGTTTTCAAAGATATAACAAATTTCTATATGATTCACATAGTTCTCTACCAATTAAAATTTAGTAATACCTCCTGCCTGGTATTTTCCCTCCTGTTCTCATACTAACATTTTCATTTGTAGTATTTCATTTAAAAGGGTGAGGGGTTATATTTAATGACTTTGACAGATTTTTTTTTGTTATTTTGTACACACAAGTGTAAACCAGAAGAAATGTTGTTAAGTACAGCTCTCTAGACTATTTCATGTTTTAAAATGCAGGTAAGCAGCAGTGATAAAAACATTGTGATGGAAAAAGTGATGTAAACATATGACTGTATAGTTACAGTTCCAACATTCAGGGGTTTTTTTTTGTTGTTGTTTTTTTTATTATTATCATTATTCAGTTTTTGTAGTTGCAACACCCAGACCTCACTGAGAAATAGTTGGACTAAAGATGTTCACGTTTTCATGTGAATAAAAGCACGATAATGCTCCTTGTTTGCACATTTCGTTTTAAAAATAGGACTAACAGAAAATGTCAAAGAGAACTACAAGTCCCACAGTTCTTCACGCGTGGTCGCCCTGGTAACGTTTGACGTCAGTCCTGATTTAGCTCGGCGCTGCTCTGGCCGTGTCTTGGACCGGTGTTATTGGGAGGAAACCCCGTTGACTTCTCTCATTCGGACAGGCTGGGAGTATCAGCTGCACCTTGGTACGCTGACATCTGCAAGAATCCAGGTAAAAGACAATAACGGCTTTAAAAAGCGTCTGCGCTTTAACACGTTTTAAACCTCACTTTTAGAAAACAGAGTAGATGAATAATTGACAGATAGAAGAAGCTCCATTGTGTGCGGGTTTTTAGGCAGGACTGGGTGTAGCGGGGACGCTCATCCAACTACAGAACAAAGGCTAGCTTAGCCTTTACCTTTACAGTCCGGGATGTGTCTAATGGCTGGGTTTTAATGTGAATATGAAAGGCGTATCAGTTAGATGTAGGCTTAAGTCCCACTAAGGACAATCATTAAACATGTTACCTGAAACTGTGCCGTAGATAAAAGGAAAATGAAGGCTTGCTGGAAACGGTATTGTTTCACCGAATCGTCTTCAGTCGATATATTACATTTATCCCGCAACTGTGAAGTTACACTTAAAAACACGCCCTCATTGATGGTAAAGTATTTTATTGTAAGCGATACGTTAGATATGAATGTAAAAAGCTGAGTAAATAGGACATTTCCGAGTGGGCAGTCAGTCGGGCCATACTTTATAAATTATTTTTAAATTAGCTGTAGAAATGGGATAAGTTTTCACGGTTATATCGTTTAAAAAAGCTGTCAAGCTTCTGTTTCAGGAAATAGTTGGCGCCATTCTAGAAACTAGTCGGTCACGCGGGCCTAGCTTCAGCGCTGCTGCCGTTCTTAAACCGGGCTTTTCACGCCCAGAATCTCCGATTTACGACTTAAGACCAGCCGCAGCTTTGCTTTGTGTTCTGTCAGGACATATCGCTTTATTTTCCCTTTTAAAGATTCAGACGAACTTTTGGTATTTTAGTTTCCGCCTGGGAGGCGAGCCACAGGTACAGGGATGGGTGTGGTGAGAGGAAAGGAGGGGGCCACATTCACTGCGAAGCCTCGCTGAACACACTGATTGCAACATTCTGCTTTTTCTGCTCCTTCAAAAGGGCTTTCAAGCATGAATGTTGGTCTTAGCTGTTTTTTTTTTTTGTTTTTTTGTTTTTTTTAAGAAATGGTCCATGGCAGAACAAGGTGAAATTTAAAAGTCCTCACAGCAGCCTTTCAAATATAAGTTTAGAAAAATACAGCTCTGTATGAATGTAGAAAAGTTGAACCAGCCTATTTAACACAAATAGCATAACTCTTCAGTGTTTTTTTTTTTTTTTTTTATTGATGCTGGTGAAGATTCTCAGTCATCCAGCTCATGGTCCTTCCAAAAAATAAAATGAAAAACAATCCACTGGACTTGGTTTCCAAGTTGGAAGATGTTTTGCCTCCCATCCAGGAAGCTTTTTCAATTCAAATGTCAGAAATATAGTTGACTTTGAGGTTTTATACAGTAAACCTCGAACCCAACACGATTTCTGACATTTGAATTGAAAAAGCTTCCTGGATGGGAAGCAAAACATCTTCAAATTTGGAAACAAAGTCCAGGGGATTGTTTTTAAAAATATATTTTAGTTAATATTTCACTACATTTTAAGGTGTTTTGAAAAAAGAAAGTTTACTAATTTAAAAAACTAGTAATGCAGCACCATTATTAGGCATGCAGAACTTTAAAGATTATAACTGCAATGAGATTTTTTCAAAATAATTTTACTCACCAGGAAAATCATCCATGCTTTTAAGTTGGAAACATTTTCCTAACCCTGTAACAACCAGGAAGTGAGCATCAGAGCAAATTTACTGTGCATTTGAACAAAATTGTTATCTCTAACATCTACCTCACCATGCTCTATAGTCATTTTCTTATCTAAAAGTGAGATTGGCTTCTACAAGTTGCTAAAAATTTCAAATCTACAACTGAACCCTCAAAGGCAGCTAAATGATGACGTGACGGCTTTTTTTCTTTCCATGTAGCGGTGGATGGCCAAGAAAATGGCAGTCGTCACAGGTACGCTGCCAGCCTGTTCGTGTTCAAACTGTTGCTCTTCTTGCCCACATCGTTAAGGAATTTAACGTTTCCCTCTGGTTGGAACATGGGGAGCATAATCTTTTAATAACCTATTACCAGGGAACCAGCTGTGAGACAGAATCTGGAGGTTTATTCATTTTTTTTATCAAGTTCTGCATTTTGCTCATATATTTGCTTTAATTTTAAAACTTGTGATGGTTCAACAATATAGAAATTTGGCTGCAAACCTGTGAGTTTTTTGTAAAATGGTGCTGATATGAATTATCTTGAGTAGTTCTTATTATTCATTTTAAGCCATTTAAAAACACCCACCCTTGAAAGTCCTTGAAATTTTATTAGAAAAAAAAGTTGTACATTTCACAAAAACTGTAATTGATTTTTGTTTGCTAAGCCATGGATTCTAGTGTTTCCTGTACACAGCTGATGTGCTTGTAACACGGCTGGCATCATTGCGTGCATTCTTCTTGTGGTTGAATTGCCAAATTACATTGAATTGGTCATCAATCTGACCCGTAATAGCCTGCCTGGAAAATTCTAATTTCAGGACATATGGCTTTCCAAGTGAGGCTTTCAAAGGATCCAAAATGATTACCCCTTTGCTTCCCCCTCGTTGGTTGGAGAACATTTTGAAGCTTTTAAAACATTTCTATGTATAGTAGAGATGAATTTCTACTCCCCTTTTAATAGTTCTAAATCCAACAATTTCTGTGCCTTTTTACTTTTCATTGAATTTACATACTACTAGGATTGTTTAGCCATGCTCAAAATTCCTTGTCCTGATTGGAATGTTTTTGAACTGGGAAACTTACCAGAACGATAACCTGATGTGCCATTTATGTAGTTACTGATAGCAGGAGGTCAATACTGCCACATGTGGCCTCCACAACCATTTCTGTGATGTTAACTGAGGTGTGGAAACCCTGATATCTGTATTCGGTTGCCTCGACATACCCTTAAATATGGACACCCCAATATATATATCCTAAGGTGCAAATTTTACACGATTGCTATTTTAATGAAGAAAATCAAAGATTTAAATATTATATTGATCATGACAGTTGGTGCGTTTTTGCTGTTCTCCAATATCGGTAGGAAAATTATGGTGGTTATTTTGCTCTGGACACAATCAAGCTACGGAGTGGATTTTGTTCCATTATTGTTACAAGCAAAGAATGTGCTTTGTAAATGGAAATTTGAGAGGGGGGGAAAATGCGATACAGATATAACATTTTTTAAAAGCATGTATAAAAAAAGGTTTAAAGAGATTCAGATTTCTTTTTTCAAATTAGATTTAAAAAAGCTTACATTTGAATTTAAATTTATACGTTTTTTTTTTTTTTTTTTTCAAATTGGTATTTTTAGAGGGTTTTGCGAATAGTATTTGTTTAAAAAAAAATCCCAGTTCACTTTAAGTTTGGTCCAAACGCATTGACCAATAGCATTGTTGCTAAACTCCATCCAAATCTCGGCCCTAGAAGTGAAGAGAACATGGACATTGGAACAAAATTTACTCATATCAGACTGCTCATGTTCTGATAACTGGCAGAAGGCCGTGCTACACTTCAATACATGTGTTTTAGTGTTTTTTTTTTTGTTTTTTTGTTTTTTTAATAATATCCTATTATTTTGCCATTGCTTGACTTTGTGCTCCATTTGTGCCCTAGTGAGCAGTCATGAGCGAATCATCTCAGAAGGAGCTGGTACAAAAGGCCAAGCTGGCCGAGCAGGCTGAACGTTACGATGACATGGCCGAGGCCATGAAAGCTGTGACGGAGGAGGGCGAGGAGCTGACCAACGAGGAGCGCAACCTGCTGTCGGTGGCCTACAAGAACGTGGTGGGCGCCCGTCGCTCGTCTTGGCGTGTGGTGTCCAGCATCGAGCAGAAAGCCGATTCGAGCGAAGGGAAACAAGCCCGGGTCAAAGAGTACCGGGAAAAAATCGAGAAAGAGCTGAAAGACATCTGTAACGACGTTCTGGTGAGTTTGGTTTTAGGGGTCTGCCTCTTCATACAACAAAAACATGAATAAACAATTATGTTTTTTTTAAAGGAAACAAAGTGCATGTATTTAGTTTACAACTTTAGTTATGATTCATGTTGGAATTAAACTTCCATATTCGGCTTCCCAAATCAGACCTTGACAAAAATGCTATAGAGGACAATTTAGGAAACAGATCTTAGAGAAGGAGTTGGCCCTCAGTATAAAAATACTGGTTGTTTAGAAAGCTCCTTTTTATTTGGGTTCTTTATGTTTGGACGCACATTTACAGAGTTCTGCTGTTTGTGACGTGGAAAAAGTACAAAGAGGGCTTGACTCATTAAACTGACCTGCAGAAAGCTGCTTTCAACCTGTTGTAACAAAGTTATGAAGTCATTTTAAATTTTTTTATGTGTTACTAATCTTTCACTTATAAAAGTGCTGCTTTAATGCCAAATAATTTGCTAGTAGTTTAAGTTGTTTACCTTCCTGATTATATAAACCTCTTTGCTGTCGTGTAGGGCCTGTGTTACTTGCTCTTCTTCACTCGGCATGTTATCTGCCCAACAATGACTCAAAGTCCTAATCCTATAATGACAAAAGCTGACCCATCAACATTGTGCATCACTAGCGCCTTATGGAGAGAGATGGGCTGTACTGGTTTAGGAAACTAGATCATTTTGAAGTAGTTTAATCTGGTCAGACTTAAATATTTATTCCTGTTCTCATTTTAACACTATAAGATGTGGTCAAAACAAAAGAGAAGAAAAGATATGAACCCGATGAATAAACAAAATACCTTTTTATAATGTTTGCTCTGATCCTAATGTTGTAAGAAAAAGAAAAGTAAACCAAAAAAAACTCTACTCTTAATGGGTGTGGCAACTTTTTTGTCCTCCAGGGCTCCCCCTACTGTTGCTAATTGGAACAACATTGTTTTAAAGAAATGGATTTTATATTTGGTACCAGTACTGGGTTTTTAAAAATGGATCATAGATGAACAGAGCAAACAAGAGGGTTAGTTTCAAACTTGATGCATATTTCTTTTCAGTTACTAAAACTGTTAAAGGGCTTCATTGTCTCATGCTTATCCCTTTTTTTTTACCTGAAGCGTTTAGGATCTCATAACATCCACTGAACTGTGTATTAATATAATCCTCTATTATTCAACTCGTTCAGACCTGGATGGGAGCAGCATAGGTTTAAGTAATTTTCTTTTTTTATAGGTAGGAAATTACTTTATAACCAAAGTAGTGTTATTCTTTTTTGTGTTAAATATATATTTATTTACTGTTGTCTTGGTGGTAGTTATTCAGAATCCAACGCTCACCATGCAGCGCTGGCTCTGCAGCCCCATACTGCTTTCACTGATCAATGCACCCTTCGATTCACACATTTCCTTTTTGAATGACATCAATTAGATTAGTCCTCATGGCCCAAATAAATTTGAAAAAGGCCACGTTGGACACTTTTCTGTGTTTTAAACTTTTATGTACTTATAAAGGTTTTCACATTTGTGCAGTAACTTGCACCATACCTACTTGCATGTAATGTTCTTTCGCTCTGCACTGCCATGGTGATATCCTGATTTTAGCTGTGCCCTTGCCAGTGGCCTAGTTCTACATTCACATCCCACTGGGCGTCCCTATCTTTCACATCGGTTTAGGAGCATTCAGCAAATGCATGATCCCATTAGCCATGTTTATCCTATTATTCTGCTGTTATGCAAATTAGCTCTTTTCTATAGAGTTTTACAATGGTAAAACTTAAAGGGTCCACATGTTTCTGTTGGTTTTGGGTTCATTAATTGTGAGCAAGTATTTTTATCCTGTCCAAGATATAAACCCAATTTCAATCAATTTGCTTCCCGAAGAGAAGGGTTTTCTTTGCGTTTTAGCAGCTAATTATTATTGCTCACACTGAGATCCACGGCTCCCCTTTGGCTTGCATCAGGTTAGCAACTTGCAGTTAATGAAGTGGTGCCTGCCAATGTGTCAGATCTGAGCTCTGACCTTCTTCCTCTACCTGGTTCCTCGCTACTTCTACTCACACAATGTTCCGCTTTTCCCCCCCATCCAAATGCCTTTATCATATACACATAAGTCAAACCCCTCTATGTCCTCTAAGACAGAGGTCTTAAACAGAGGGTCCTCTGTTGAGGTTCAGAGGTACTGCATGGAGGTTGCAAAAGTTATGGTTGATTTGCCTTTTTCTTTTTTTTTATTCCCCCCCCCCCCCCCGCCGCAATTTTTTTCCACTAATTAAAATGTCTTTAAATCCACATTGACATGAATTGTACACATTTTAGTAAACAGATGAATATGGGCAGAAGATGTCTTTCAGTCATCAATGCAAACATTCAGCGACACACAGGAGCTCTTTCAAGCTGTGCACTTCACGTTGTGCGTTTCATTCACAACACCTGTCCCATCAACCAGGAATCAGAATCAGAAATACTTTAATAATCGCAGGGAGAAATTACTTTCGTTACATTACTCCATCTGTAATAGAGTGACTATAGGATGATGCAACACAGTTTCATACAATATATATAATTAGGGGGTCCCCGCTAGCCTGGGTGCCAGTCAGAACTTAGTCCCGCCCACAAGGTTTGAGTTCGGGGAAGTTCGGTCTGGCTCTGCTCCATAGTAGCGCGAGTATTATCGCCCACTGTCAGGCGATCCAATCAAATTGTCAGGGCGGACTTTATACGATGATGGACAGATGATCAAGAGTAACGTAATCAACCACGTGACCAATGCGCGCTAGGGTGACAACAACAATGGCTGCCGCTGGAGAGTTTAGGTGAGTAGATTCTGCTATTAGGTCTGTTCTAGAAGATATCGACAGCAAATTAATTTTAAAAGAGGAACAGAGAAACGCGATCAAGTCTCATCTTCTTATTCTAGGCGTGAAACTGCACGCTTTGATTTTTGTTGACAACAACTATGCCTCGCTTAACATACGTCACGCACTCCGTTGCTCTTATTGGTTGTAGATCTATCCAATTGAGTGCAGAGGCATTTTTTTTCCTGGTTCGTTCGAAACACGCCCCATAATCACAGCTCTATGGAGCAGTATCAGACTCATATTCTGACTAGAATTGAGTCGGACTACGTCAGGCTAGGTCCCCGCTCCATCTCGCCATCAATTTGGGGGTCCTTGGCCTGGAAAACGTTGAAGATCCCTGCTCTGCTTTAAGATAACTGCTCAAATCTGTTCACTTGAACTGGTTTGAGAAGTAATAGCAAGTGAAAATGGTGAAGAATGATGCTAATGATTTTTTTTTTGGTTTTTTGCTTCTGTTTGTCGTCACAGGGTCTTTTGGACAAGTTCCTCATCCCCAAAGCAATGATCCCAGAAAGCAAAGTATTTTATTTGAAAATGAAAGGAGACTATTTCCGCTATCTGGCTGAGGTTGCAACAGGAGACGAGAAGACTGGTATGCCTCTCCTAATTTCTACCACATGTTACTGACAGAAGGAATGTCCAATTTGGGCTCATTCTGTCAGTCGTGGTCCTTTTTAACTTCTTATATATCAACTATATGCAGTTTTAAATGTACCAATATTGTTTTTGTTAAATTTAACCTTAATATGCTGAAAGTAAAAAGCTGTTGGGTTTAAGTTGTTTTATTTATTCATTGGCTTTGGCTTCTTGTTGTCTGGTCTAATGAGAGGTTTCTCCTCACTGGTTCGGCTTCCTGGAAATGTTGTTTTTTCTATTTATATATAGATGTGATTTTATACACACTTTTGCATTTAGACTATTTATTTTGTATAATAAAAAAAAAAAATAAATATATATATATATATAGATATATATATCTATATATATCTATATATCTATCTCATGAACCAAGGCTTCAAAGCAACAGCCAGTAAGACAGGAAGTTGAACTTAACATTACCGTAGAAACGACACTTCCCCTATGAAGGTCACTTTCATCAGCAATCAGAAAACTGTCACATTGGCCGTATTTGGTGTGAGGAGGGGATTTAATGGGCAGAAAGTAGTTATATTTCTGTCTGAATTATAGAATATCTCTGAGATCTATGCTGGTGAAGATTCTTTGGGATCCAGATCATAGTCATTCCAAAGAAAATGACTATCCAAAGTGGTGGACCCATTCGTCCGTTTCAATTTCCATGTTTTCCACGCCAAAACAAGGCTTTGATGGGATACTGTATAAAACCTGGAACTAAAACGCTATTTCTGACATTTTGAATTGGAAAAGCTTCCTGGATGGAAGAGAAACGTCTTCAAACTTGGAAACAAAGTCCAGTGGATTGTTTTGGAATCCCTGAGATCGAATCGTTCCTTTTTTCTTATTCCTATTAAGTAAATATACCTGCAGCCAGATTAAGTTATATAAAGTTTTCTTCATTCAAACTACAGACTTCAGACCTCTGATTCTCATCTTGGGCTTCAATTTCTTTGTTGTTTTTTTGAAGAATCTTTCAAATCATAGCGGTGTCTTTTACCCAACAGTCATCAATGCTGTTTAACTATAAATCCTCTAAAAGTTTTTCATCTGCTTTCTAGTTGGTACTTAGTAGGGCTGGGCGATAAATAGAATTCATTCAATTAATTCGTGTTTGTAAATTTTGCTAAATCGTAAAATCAAGGAAATCTCTTCCACATTTTTTTTTTTTTACTTGCGCGTTTGCGTTCCAAAGTGGTGGTCCCGTTCGTCCGCTTCAGTTTGCATGTTCTCTAAACAAATACGAGACTTTGATGGACTACTGTGTAAAGCCTCGAACTAATCGCTATTTTTGACATTTGAATTTGAAAAGTTTCCTGTTCCAAGTACTAGGGTAAAAAATAAAAACAAATTTTTTAAAGTCATCTTGGACGATTGCAATTTTTATCTATTTTAATTGAAGAATTAAAATCTACATGCATGCATTTTAAAATAGGTCTACTTAATTAAAAATATAATGTGCAAAGTAACACATATTTAGCCAACAATAAACGTATTGTAAAAATGTAAACTTAAATATTCATAACATAAATCTTCAAGTAAAAAATGCTCACCCAACAATAATTGTACTGATTTTTTTTTATCAGTAAAAAATGTACACCTATATATTCAGTTGAAGTGCAAGAAAGAAGAACTTAATTTGCTGAAATATGCAATTTATCAAACAGTCAATAACTTCTGTTGAGCCCAGTTCACGTTGATATAATGTCGTTAAACTCATAAACGACTTTATGCTCAGAAACCAGGTTGTCTGCGTTTGTCGCAGTTAACAGACATCTGATTTTAGATTTGTTTTATAAAACCAATTGATGAACTAAATGATAACCATGTTTAAGCTTACATGGTTGAGTGGGGCTTAGCTCAGTGAACTCAGATTTAGTTCATCATTACTATCCGATGGTTAAAATCTGAGACTCATTTCTCTCCTTTTTGTTTTCCAGGCATTATAGAGAATTCTAAGGAGGCGTACGGGAAGGCCTTTGAGATCAGCAAAGAGGAAATGTCACCCACACACCCGATACGCCTCGGTCTAGCCCTCAATTTCTCCGTCTTCTTCTATGAGATCCTCAATTCTCCTGAAGAGGCTTGCAGTCTAGCCAAACAGGTACCTCCATTCTCTGTAAAGCTGGGCATACACTGTGCGATTTTGTTTTTCAATCGTTGCATGCAACTACGACTCACACTGTACGACGAAAGCAGAGTTTTGTCGTACAGTGTGAGTTCACAGCTCATGATGTATGTGCAGCACGACGCTCTGATGCGATCTACCAGCTCACACCGTACGTCTAAAAACCACGTGGGACTCGGCTCTGCAGTTAGATGGCGATACTCAGACTCGTCTATCCGGAAGCCAAACGAGTAGAAGAGGAATATGAAGCTCACTAGAGTGAAAGCAGCTTTGTGCTGAAAGCCCTAAAAAGAAAAGGCAACGACGTATTTGGACAAAGACATGGCTGACCAAACATGGCTGCTACGCTCTGTCAATTTTACAGAGAGAACTCTATTTCACTCGCACCCCCGCCATGCTTCTGTGTTTTCATTTGAGAGGCAGAAGCAGAATCCTTTGTTTGCGCACTGAGCCATTTTTGCCCACAACGATTGGGAACAAATCAAACTTGTTTGATTTTCTCCCGATTTCTGATCGGGAGGTGGTCGTGAGAGGCTGATCACCCCTCGTTACCCCCTGTACACAACGCAACGCACGATCAGGCTGAACGTCGGCAAAATCCCCTCGAATGGGGGCGAAAAATGGCCCGGTGTAAGCCCGACTTAAGGCAGCTCCTAAGCAACCTGGTTGGATTCAGAGGTGGGGATTAGTTTTCTCTGAAGGCCTCTAAAGATATTCTCTATTTTCTTCTCTAGGCTTTTGATGATGCCATCGCTGAACTCGACACACTGAGCGAAGATTCGTACAAAGACAGCACACTAATCATGCAGCTATTGAGGGACAACTTGACGGTGAGTGAAACCTTCAGCCATCTTTTTTTTTTTTAATCTATTACAGAAGATGGGATTAGTTGTTGAGTGATTCTAAGATTGGATTGTTGTCTTTTCACTCAGCTGTGGACTTCTGACAGCGCGGCTGAGAACGAGGAGCCCGAGGAGCCCAAAGAATGAGCCTCACCCCCCCCCCTCCCTGTCATCCCGTCTGCCTGACATCGTCCAAAGTCCTCTTTTGGTTTTGTTTTTGATCAGCACTTTGACCACCTCATTCATGACATCCAGCTCAATCCTTTTCTTTCTCCATCCATGTCTCTGCTCATCTCACTCTACTGGGTTTGCTGTTTTTCTGCAGTAACTGCAAACAAACAGCGGGGGCGTTACAGTGTTGATGGGAAGGTTCATGTCTGTTTGTATTTCTTGCTGACCTTTTCTGGGTTAAATCAAGCTTTTTTTTTTTTTAGGTATTCTATTCTTGAGACGTGCAGCGAGTGGTTTTTAACACCAACAATGAATTCAGCGTGCGTGTATCCTACTCTATAAAGGGGCTGTTTGTAAGCAGCACCGTTACGACCAATCAAACAGAAGCTGCCTGCTCACACCTGACTTGGCAGAAGAGGAATTGCAGCGAAGGTAGACTCAGTGGTGACATAATGGGGAGCGCTGGTGATGAAGGGCCAGATTTTACACAGGTTACATTCCATATAATGTCGGTTATCAACCATCTACTGTCCTTTTTGTTTTTTTGTTGGGGGGGGCTGTTTTTGTACGTCTATGTATTCATTACGAGGTTTAGAACATTTAAAAAGACAAGAGCACAAGCTTGTACTGTTGCTGTTTTTTATGAGCACCTCAGTAAGTATGAAAATCCCACTTTTTATATAATTAAAAGGTCTTTGAAAATGAGTTTCTTGTTTTCAAAAATTGCATAAATCTGATTAAAGGCTAGTCTGGAGAAGTCAGGCTGTTGTTGGATGGTTAGCTTTGTCTGTCTTTGGATTTTTTTTGTACTGACCACTTGAGCATAACTGTTTTTTGGGGTAATGCATAATTACATTTAAGTGAAATAAACCATTTAAAAGGTTCAACTTGTCCTTTTTTTTTTTCCTTAGAAGTATCTCAGTCCTTCTAGTACCACTCGTTCAGACTTGAAAGTTGGGTTATCAAGCATAAACTTGGTAATCTTTTAAAGCACAATTGTCTGCAAGAAAAAATTTTACAGTTTTTATAAGACCAAAGATTATTAGATTAAGTTTTGATGCTAAAATATTCTCTTCCCGTCTTCATTAGTAACTGAGACCATTTAAATGCATGACTCCCAGCCTGTTGCCGTAAAACATGAAAACGTTCACTTGTCGGCTGTAGTATACTTCTAAAATAGTTTTTGCGCCGCAGGGAAGTCTACTTAACTGTAGCTTGGGTGTGGTTCCCACTCCCACAGCAGATTCCACGCAGGAATCCTGTCTGCTCTGTACTTTTATGTCAGAATGCACCATTTAACCTGCTAATGTCTGTGTCCCTTTACAGCCAGTCAACTCTTCACTCTTAGTTAAAATGAATGAATTTTTATTTAGACAGTTAAACAAAATAGGATTTACATAGTTTAAAGTTTTTTTTGTTTGTTTTTTTAAAGAATTCAAGTTGTATAGAACAGGAGGGGTGTTTGTTGTGATTTAGCACCCCCTAGAGGTTTATGATAGTATTACAGGGGGGGGGGTTACATCCTTTCTACCTTTAGAAGTGGGGAAAAGCATTGACCATAAGATAACTAGACCTGGATAATCAGATGGTTGGCTGATGGGAAAATGGATGCTATGGGGGGGGGGGGGGGGGGGGGGGGGGGGGGGGTGAGGGGATATAATGTCCATAGGGATATCGGGGTTAAAAAGTTCCCTAAGCGCGGTTTGAAGTCGGTATGGAAGGATTTGTATCATAAAGCTTGTAACTCGTACAGGTGCACAAATTAGATTTTTTAATCTAAGATGTATGTTGGCAGAGATCCTTCTTATTCATTAGAATACATGATTGAGTGTGGCTTGAGTCCCAGTGCAATAGATATATAAATGCACATCTATATAAATAACCTGTGCAATAACCAATATATATATATATATACAATATACAGTCATGGCCAAAAGTTTTGAGAATGTTTCAAATGTTAATATTTACAAAGTCTAACACATGCAGTCATCATTGCACTGCACAAAAATGGCCTAACAGGAAAGAGAATCGCAGCTAGAAAGATTGCACCTCAGTCAACAATCTATTACATCATAAAGAACTTCAAGGAGAGGTTCCATTGTTTCCAAAAAGGCTCCAGGGCGCCCAAGGAAGACCAACAAGTGCCAGGACCGTCTCTTAAAAGTGTTTCAGCTGCGGGATCGGGCTACCAGCAGTGCAGAGCTTGCTCAGGAATGGCAGCAGGCAGGTGTGAGTGCATCTGCATGCACTGTGAGGCGGAGACTCTTGGAGCAAGGCCGTGAACCATTCATGTGTGGGGTTGCTTCTCATCCAAGGGAGTCTGCTCTCTCACAGTCTTACCTAAAAACACAGCCATGAATAAAGTTGAATGTCCTCTGAGAGCAACTTCTACCAACTGTCCAAGAGCAGTTTGGTGATGAACAATGCCTTTTCCAGCATGATGGAGCACCTTGCCATAAAGCAAAGGTGATATCTAACTGGCTCAGGGAACAAAACATAGAGATTTTGGGTCCATGGCCTGGAAACTCCCCTGATCTTAATCCCATTGAAAACTTGTGGTCAATCATCAAGAGACGGGTGGACAAACGAAAACTGACAAAATGCAAGCATTGATTGTGCAGAATGAACTGCTATCAGTCAGGATTTGGTCCAGAAGTTGATTGAGAGCATGCCAGGGAGAGCTGCAGAGGTCCTGAAGAAGAGGGGTCAACACGGCAAATATTGACTTGCTGCATTAACTCATTCTGTCATTAAAAGCTTTTGTTACTCATATGATTGTAATTGCATTTCTGTATGTGACGATCTGACATACACACATGAAAACCAGAGGGCAGCAGATCATGTGAAAATATATTTGTGTCATTCTCAATACTTTTGGCCATGACTGTATATATAATATATATATTTCTTCCTTTGGCACCATAATCTTATGTAAATCAATTTTCAATGTTTTATTAGCCAAAAGAAAATGATTCTGATAAACAGAAATAAAGGTTTGAAAGTGTGTTATCGACATAAACCGTGTTTTATTCAAACACGTCCTCGGGTGGTAGACCATGACTGAGTCGCTGTAGTAAAGGGGAAGCATTAACATGACCTGAATTTAATACATCATTGATTTGCTGTACTATGTCTGATACAGAGCAGCAGAGAGAACATTTATAAGGTCATTTTCTCCCAGACACTAACCTGTTGGTGCTCTTTATAGAAATGTTCATTGTGCCCAGGACAAATTATGAAGCAGTTTAGAGGCTCAGAGTTTGGTTCATAAATGGATCCATACCTTTTTTTTTTTTTTTTTTACGCATAAAATCTGTAAAACATTTATTTTTCTTGCTCTTTTATTGTCATTACACTGTCACATGTACAGAGCAAAGAAATTCAGTCTCTGCATTTAACCCGTCCCCTTGGGGAGCAGTGTGGGGTTAAGGGTCCTTGCTCAGGGACCCAGAATGGCAGTCTGTGCGAGTGGGGCTCAAACTCTATGCCCAAACCACTAAACAGCCACTACATTTAAAAATCAGGTATCGATGCTGATTTATTTAAGTGGCCGCTGAAAGTTTTGAAATGTTTAAGAAAATACTGTCTGCAACTGCAGTGGAGGTTGGTTGTTCATATAAGCTGCCAGGATTTGCAGTATTAAAGATGGATTAGTGGAGTGCAGTCATGGGAAGAAGAGCACACACACCCCTTCAAGCCCTTTGTGTCACAGCATGATAAAAAATTTCAATATTTTAAAACGGACAATACTCAAAGAAACTGCAGATCTCTAAAGACCATAGTTATGTAAAAGACTTAGATATATTTTGTTGTCATCTTGTATATACAGAGTGTATACAAAACGAGTGTATAGTACAGCTTTTCAGCCAGTAAATGAACATTTCTATTCCATAAAATGCAGCAAAAGGTCAAGAAAATTAGAAAACTAAATAAAACTGGCTTTTGAAAAAAGCTGCTAGAAGATAATTTACAAAGAACATTGCTGGTCTTTAGTTTTACAAAGCGGAATATCAAAGTTTTCTTAGAAATGAGTAACAGATCAGCTCAGACCCGTTCTACATGTAGGGGAGCGACATTTACCGCTTAAGTCACAGCTGTTATGTTTCATCCTTTCTGTTATGTCCACACATTTCTAGACTCAATGCTTTTGGTCACATTTCCTGATAATAATAACTGAACTTTATTGATCTCACATTGGAGAAATTTACCTTTGCATTTAACCCATCGCCTTGGGGAGCAGTGGACTGCCATCGTGCGGCGCCCGGGGGAGCAGTGTGGGGTATATTCACTTTACTAAAAATGATTCAGAGCGCAGAAATATTTAAACCAACACAACATAAACAAGAGGAGAAAACTTTTTTAAATTTAAGGTTCTTTCTCAGAGAGCCAGAGTGGCAGTCTGTGGGAATGGGACTCGAGCTCAGAACCTAAGGATTAGGGGTGTAAATTAAACCCATCATGGTGATCCGATTCAGAATCAATTCCCTGACCAAACAATTCAATTATTTTCGATACTCAAGAATACACCACGATACGATTCATTAATTGGTTACATTTTTTTTTACCTTAAAGGCTAGACTATGTTTCAGATTTGAAATAAATAAATTAAAGCTGTAATATTGGTTTTCATTTTATTTGAAAAACAACAGCAAATAACAAAACTAGCAAAGTTGTAGTCCACCTATGCCTATGAAAACCTCTGAAAAATAATAATGCATCTGTGTTATACGATTCTTAAAGGCCTTGCATCAAAAAATACTTCAATGGGTGCATAAGTTTACCACCAGCTTAGGTAACAAAAATAGGCCTACAGTCATGGCCAAAAGTTTTGAGAATGATTTAAATGTTAATATTTACAAAGTCTACTGCTTCACTTTTTATAACAGCAATTTGCTTATATTCCAGAATGTTATAAAGAGTGATCAGCGTAACAGCAATTAATTGCAAAGTCAGTATTTGCCTAGAAAATGAGCTTTATTCCCCAAAACACATTTCAACATCATTGCAGCCCTGCCTTAAAAGGACCAGCTAACATTGTTTCAGTGATTGCTCCGTTAACACAGGTGTGGGTGGTGATGACAGGGCTGGAGATCAATCTGTCATGATAGAGTAAGAATGACACCACTGGACACTTTAAAAAGAGGCTGGTGCTTGGCATCATTGTTTCTCTTCTGTGAACCATTGTTATCTCTAAAGAAACACGTGCAGTCATCATTGCACTGCACAAAAATGGCCGAACAGGAAAGAGAATCACAGCTAGAAAGATTGCACCTCAGTCAACAATCTATGGCATCATCAAGGACTTCAAGGAGAGGTTCCATTGTTACCAAAAAGGCTCCAGGGCGCCCAGGAAAGACCAACAAGTGCCAGGACCGTCTCTTAAGTGTTTCAGCTGCGGGATCGGGCTACCAGCAGTGCAGAGCTTGCTCAGGAATGGCAGCAGGCAGGTGTGAGTGCATCTGTGAGGTGGAGACTCTTGGAGAAAGGCCTGGTCTCAAGGAGGGCAGCAAAGAAGTCACTTCTCTCCAGGATAAACATCAGGGACAGACTGATATTCTGCAAACGGTACAGGGAGTGGACTGCTGAGGACTGGGGTAAAGTCATTTTCTCTGATCAATCCCCTTTCCCATTGTTTGTTGTTTGGGACATCTGGAAAACAGCTTGGTTTGGAGAAGACGAAGTGAGCGCTACCACCAGTCTTGTCTCATGCCAACTGTAAAGCATCCTCTAACCATTCATGTGTGAGGTTGCTTCTCAGCCAAGGGATTTGGTTCTCTCACAGTCTTACCTAGAAACACAGCCATGAATAAAGAATGGTACCAGAATGTCCTCCGAAAGCAACTTCTCCCAACCGTCCAAAAGCATTTTGGTGATGAACAATGCC